TATATATAGAGAGAGAGAGAGAGAGAGAGAGAGAGAGAGAGAATGAATATGTGTGTCTTTGATGAGGGGTGAGGTCGAAAGATACAGAAGTTGTAATCTCTACTCTCAAGCAGGTAGAATACAGTTATGATTGTAAGGGCTGCTTTATGTCTTCATCCATTCAGACTGAACACAACTTAACCCACTAACACCAAGCATCTTTAAATGGAGGCTGCAAGTGTGCAATAACCAACTGCAGGGAAAGAGGCATACAGGGTCGACAGGCACCCAATAGGGGTCATAGGGAAAGGTTGAATTTTAAATAAAGTTTCCCTAAGGAACTGCAATGCATATTTCTAATTACATAGTCCAGTGTAAATATTTTAGGTTTTAGTGATAAAGGAGTAATACCTCATTTTTTTTTAAGAGAACCATTTGGCTTTAACATATAGTCTAGTTTGTATCAAGTTTGCAACCGATTATGACTTTATCTGGCATTCTTGGTGGTCCCGCTCCCCCCAGTATGAATTCCTGAGGTCACCACACCTGAAGGACCAGCACAGTCCCTCCAGCCAGCCTTAGTCATGCTGACAATAGACAGTGTCACCTCTCAGACAGAAGTCAAGCACCAGCCACCAGGAGAGAGTCACTTGGAATATTTTTCTATGTCTGCTTACTTCATGACTTAGGGCCTCCAGGGTGGGGAGGTAAGTAAATGTTTTGATAGGGCTTTCCTAGAAGCTCCTATGAGCCCTGGCTGCAGGGATTGTAAAACTTAGTATGAACGATGCTATTAAAGAAACTAGGAAGAATGGAAAGCACTACTTGTCATAATGAATTCTACCCTAATAAGACTGTGTATCAGTGGCACATTCTTTCTTTGTTTTAAATAACCCCACGGATTCCACATTTTCAAATAATTATGCAGATGCTCAACAGATGGCAAAAAGAATCCTTGAGGAATGAAGGACAGAGAGCACCTACCCCAGTCCCAGCTGGTGATAAGCTTCTCCTTTCATGCACGCCAGCGTTTGTTGTGTTACAGTGTCTGGGCCAGGAGAGCAGGGACTCAGAGAATGAACTGTGAGTCCCTGCCTTTAGGTTTGGTGAGAATCCCTGCGGTGTGGTTCCAGGACTATTTTTATGACTTCAGCACAATCTCATCCCTTTGCTCTTAACCATAATTTAGCAATTGTATATTTTAAAATTTCAAATAGTGCTTAGGTTTATTACCCATTATTTCAGTTATATTTGGCTGAAAGCTTCTGAATGCTTCACGCCAATTACATTTATTTTCATGGTTAAAAAGTCATCATCCCCTTAACACCTACAATCAGAGGAAATGTATGGTCTTCTATTCACAAATGGCCTCTCTGGCCTTCAGCTCCAAGTATAAGCCTGTTAAGTCCCATTAGGAATAACTATTACCAGTCTGCTCAGGGCTCTTTCCATCCATTTAATTCAATTCATTTACCCTTTGTGTCTCCTATGACACAAAGGGAGATCTAATAGGTTTCTCTGAATAGTCATGTGCTATTCTTGTGTTTTAATGTTAAAGTAAACAACACACCTGGAATATGTGCAGGTCCTAAAATGTGCTTAAAAGATTAAAGAATGCTTTTCAATGACAGGAAAACATGGGTTCCTGTATTAGACCCACATCCCTAAACACAAAGAGGATTTCCTCCTTTGTTTATGTAAATCACTCGGCCTTTAGGCATCCTGGGAAACATGAACATTTCCCTTGTAACTTTAGTTAAAGTTGTTACGAACCAGTTTTACTTCTGGTTCATTTATTTGCAAGTAGTTTACAGCATTATAAAAGCTCAAACACAATGCAAGATTGCTGTGGTTTTTGGCACGTTTAGCATTGACATTTTACAAAGGCAAGTTCCATTGGAAGCTTGTCGCCGAAATGAGAAGTGCAGGAACCCCGCCCACATGACAAATGCCCCACAGAATTGCTCAACAGCAATCACAGTGCAGAGCGGTCATTTTTAATGGAGGCAGTTACAACTCCATCCAGTCAGGCCTTTCTCCCTGTATTGGCTTATTCCTTGCCCAGTTCTTGGAATCTGGGTAGTGTTCCTGGGCACTGAGCCCATTTTGGTTTAATTTTTGTTTATTGTTATTATTTCCAGCATCTCAGTTTCTATTTTGAGGCAGGTGCCTTAAAATTATATTATTGCATACACATACTACTGTTGTGATTCTGACAATATCCAAACTGTGTTCCCTTAATATTTCCCTTTGAATAAATTTGCTTTTTTACTTAAATAAGTTCATGAGAAAAGTATATGTTAAAGTCATAAATAGATACAGCGCTACATATATTAAAAAGACAATAATGTAAAAAATATAATTGAAAAATATAATGAAAACATAAATGCTATGAATTTCAAATTAGAGGGTTGTGGGGGAAGGCTTGGCATCTGATGTCTGCTCTATGGTAAAATGGTGATTAGCAAGTATAGCCAGGTATTTACAACGATCACAACATAGGTATTCTCCTAGATATAATCAAAAAGCCCAGTGGTAAATGGCTTCTCTAAGACCACTGCTTGGTAAGCATGAGAACTCACTCAATAAGTCAAGTGTTGGGGTTATCCAAACCCAATGCTGTTTTTCATTCACTCCCACTCCTGGCACCCACTGTTCTCGATGGTGGCATCAGAGGAAGGCAGAAGCATGTGGGCCAACCAAATTCAGATCCTTCTGCTACCAGTTCTGATAAAAAGAATGTGGTTTCCATGGCTGCACGCCTCCTCTTCAGCCTCCATGTAGACTTGATCTACATCTCAGCTGTAGTTATGAAGCAGCGATAGGAGCTATTATGTTTGGAATATCATTACTCAGGTAGTATAACATCTCTGTCTAATGAACTAATGGCCTAGCAAGGTCTTTTAAAAAATGGTCCCTCCAGGAAACATACAAAAATAAGACACATAGTCAAGGGGTGGAGACCACCAGCCTTGCTTTTGCCCAACCAGAAAAACTCTATTCAATTAGAAAGCAATACCCAGGACAATGGCAAAGCACCATCTTAGATCAAATGTGGTCTTGCAGTGAGTTAGGAATTGGTGAAGAAGGGGACAAAGATTGATGAAGAAAAGAAAGACAGAAATGCAAGCTATTTGCATGTTTTGGAATGCACACTGCCAGTGATTAAAGTGGCTAATCTTCCATTTTTAGGTCCAATGGCTGAGAGATTGCTTTAAAAAAAAAAAAAAGTCACACTTTCCCCCTACAATCTCATTATTCACAGCATCATATCTGAGTCCTTCCAAACAAGAAAATCAATTTTGCCTTAGATACAAAATATCTAGTCTCAGTCTTTAAAGGAAACAATCAGCATATAAAAATGTTACTTTACCTTTATATCCTCTGTCTCCTTTTTCATAGTTATCTATACTTATAATAGGGTAATATGCAAATTGGTCTGGATGCTGTCACATAACGACCTATCAACAGGAGGGCAGGGCAGTGAGCTACATGCAGCAGAGAGCTGCGAGCGGCGGTGGGCGGGGCGGCCTGCTGAGGCAAGTGGCTACAAATCCGTGCGCAGGGCCACTAGTTTTTACATATTTACTAACTTTGCACAGACATTTTTATAATCCACATTAAACTCAGATTGAATCACTTTATTACTTTATGTGGTCATTTCTCCCTCTCAAAAAAACACACAAACCCACAAACAACCCAAAGGTGCTGAAGAACAAATTGCATCTATACAGTCTGATATTGAGACTAATCACACCTACGTACCTAAGTAAGATACCTTAAAATTTCTACATGCTTAGTTCTAGTATGACCTCATGGATAAGCGAAGGTCAGCATTTTGTGGTATGCCTTAGCTCTGCTCTGCTGGAGTCTAATGACCAGAAACTTTGATTTCAACAAGACTTTGATGAGAAATAAGCAATTTGGAACAAGGGAAAAAAGTGATGTCCACATAGAATCTTATTGGGGCTGCTCTTTGGCTGTGGCAGAGGTGACTAAAAATAAAACCCTCTGAAATGTGGCTCAGGAAATAAAAGAAAGATCAAGTATGCCTTC